TTAACTTTCACACAATTTAATTTTAATTTAGTAAGCTCATTTTAATAAGGTTGAGAAAAACCAGGGTGACCCAGATGTACTGTATTTTTTGTTGCACACAAAGAAAGGAGTTTATGACAGCGGCATGAATCAGATTGTGGCAGATATTAGCAAATCACTTTTAACCTAATCACTGTTCCCAATAAGAGTTAAAAATTGGTTAATTAAAGTCATCCTTAAATAACTTTATTTGACACAATCATTAATTCTGACAGCAGTATAAATATACTCTAAGATTAAGATTAATATAAAATCTGAAACGTTGTATAACTAAGCTAATGTTAGCGTCATTGTTTACACTGAGGAAAGTGAGGCTTGAACTCTTTTTTTTTTTATAGTTGAACACAGACATTAATGTTTCTAATCAGTTTGCAGCTATTTAAAAGTATTTTTCTCTTTATGTCAATTGATATTAGTTAGTGGCTTATCTGTAGCTTTAGTGGTTTATCTACAGCTGAAAGAAAGAGGCACATCAGGAAGGCCAGCTCTGTGATTGAATACCCTCTGGATTCAATGCAGGAGGTGAGAAACGAAAGGATCCTAACTAAATTAACATCTCTGTTGCATAATGTCTCCCACTCCATGCATGAAGCAGTTCAGAACTGAAGAGCTCCTTCAGTGACAGACGGCTGGACCCTAAATGCACCAGGAAGCGTTATCACAGATCCTTCCTCCCAGCAGCTGGAAGACTCTAATACCACCACCTGATTTTGCAGTTTCTATCTTAGTCAGTTAAATAACATGCTGCTGTCAATTTGCACACAGCCGCTTATTGGTTGTGTATTGTCCAGGTGCACAGTATTTATATATTTTTTAAAACACTTAATAGTACAGTATTTTATATTTTACATTTGTTTAACTCCTCACTATTGTGTTATTTTATACACTCTTTTAAGGTCCACATGGAGCATTTATTCTATAACCTTTTTGCTGCTGTTAACACCAGAATTTCCCCATTTTGAGACAATAAGGGTTTTTTTATACTTATTATACTTATTTGTGTAGCCAACCATAGTTTATTTAATCGACAGCTAAGATCAATAACATTGCATGTAAAACCTTTACTGTGCATTTTAATGGGTTTTCATGAAGGACACAAATATTTTGGAGAACTTTTGTTTAAAGGAATAGTACACCCAAAACATGATTAGCCTTCATTTTCTACTCACCCCCATGCTGAACAACACTCTGGAGTACTTTTTTGATATCTCAAATGCATCTGGAGATCTGGGAGGCTTCTTGCTGTCTGCTGACATTCAAATAATGGAGGTCTATGGTGCCCGAGGCAGAAAGGTCCATAAAAGTCCACAAAAACATGTCATTATTCCTCCATACTGCTCGTCCAATGTATTCCAAGTGTCCTGAGTTGGTAGCGTCCATAATTTACTCGAAACGAAGTCATTTCTGCGCCTGCGAGTTCACGAGCCTACGGAAACTGAGGCAGACCAAGCCAGATGAAAGTGCGCATTCAGCGTCTGCTCTTGATAATGCAAGCGTAGAAGAAGAAATGTGCTGTTTACCTGTGCAAAGAAAGAAACAACGAAAGAAAAATGTCTGAGGACTTCAGTGTTGAGGAAGAGCATGAGTTCTTTGCCGAGGTGAATGCGCACTTTCATCTGGTTTGGTCTGCCCTGGTTTCCGTAGGCTCGTGAACTCGCAGGCGCGCGCTTTTAGGAAATCCTGTACACTACTGTTTATGCTCTAAAAACATTCTAAATGACTTTGTTTCGAGTAAATTATGGACGCTACCCACTCAGGACACTTGGAATACATTGGACGAGCAGTATGGAGGAATATTGACACGTTTTTTGTGGACTTTTATGGACCTTTCTGTCTCGGGCGCCATAGACCTCCATTATTTGAATGTCAGCAGACAGCAAGAAGCCTCCCAGATCTCCAGATGCATTTGAGATATCAAAAAAGTACTCCAGAGTGTTGTTCAGCATGGGGGTGAGTAGAAAATGAAGGCTAATCATGTTTTGGGTGTACTATTCCTTTAAGTAAAACCTCAACGTTGTTCAAATAAAGAGTGAACTGCTGCTGTGAAAGGGAAGGATAAATGTAGCCTTGAAAATTGACAAAGGATGTTCCATTCTGGGTGTGAATGTTTTCAGTGACCTTGATGAAAATGGATAACAAAAAATCATAGATTTGCACTGGACTTGGATTGTTTTTATTTTTGGGGAGAGGGGGGGTAAAAAAAAAGGCAAACCAGAAAAATTTGAAATTTTTTTCTGCTTAATGCATAAACATAAACATATATACAAGATGCCAGAAGAGCTGCTAGTGCAATTCGATTAAATCATCTTTGTGTTTAATCACAGATGAGTACATCTGAAAAACTTTGAATATGTTGGTAAATCTGACCATTTATACTCATAAAGTTTCTTTAAAAATCCTTTCTTTGAATGATAAATCAATTTTTGTTATTATTTGATATAGTAAATTTTAAGTCAAAGTTTGTTCCTTTTTTGTCTGTTTGAACCCGTTTGTTGCATTAAAGACAAAAGTATTCATATTAAGTGTTTGTGATTTTTATTCTTTTTTTTCCGCCCTGAAAGTATTTCAAAGGTAAAACAATTTCACGGGGGTAAATTAATCTAAAGTGTATTAGTTGCTGATGTTTTTCTTTACCTTTGCAGTATAGGATTCATTACAAATATAAATTGCTTTACAACATTCTCCATCTGGTCTGTCATCGTGCCGTAGCAGATTTATTTCTTTTTCCTCCAACAGCTATTGAAGCACATGTTCCTGTAGCTGTTGGACACCAGCGCTAACACTCAGGTGTCTGGTGAGGTAGTCTTTGTGTGTGATAGGTCCTGATTGCCCAGTGGCCAGTAAGTCATGCCGTTGACTCTTATTTGACACTCAATTGGTTCAAATGACACCATTACCATGTCTGGGTGGCTAATGGCCTCCCCGGGGCCACAAGGCGCAGGGGGAACATGGGTTACGTGTTTCAGTCTGAGGTGAGAACACACATGAGCCAGGCACAGGGCCCAGTCCACACCCAAATCAATCCCGACACCTCTTAAGAGGCTCTTAGCATCAATGGCACTCCAGTGCAATTACCCTTTCAGTAATGACATAAGCACCTAGTTCCTTCCTGCCTGCCTCTTACTGGCTGGGGAGAAATCCTCTCCCGCAGGCCAGTAGATGGGGGTGTTGTGGACCATGTTGGCCTCAAAGGTGTTGTTACCTGAGCCCTCTGTGCTCTGAGGTGTGGAGGCTTTTATCTGATCAGAGACGCTGTGCTGAGCCTGTCCTTCTTTTTAGCCTGATTGGAGGTGATGGAGCTCAGCAGGCTGTCAAGATAACCCGTTTCTCAGCAGTCGGCGAAGAGGATTTCCTTTGAAAGCTTTAGGTTTTAGTGGTTGGTGATGATAACCTTGGGAAGTGCAGCTGGGGAACATATGATCAACAGTCAGATTTAAGCCGATAACGTTGAGATCCCGCGGCTTTGGAAAGAGCAGTTATTAAAGACGTCTCTGCTGTGAAGGACAACTAAACAATGCAAATCCACAGCAGACTAAACTGTTCTTTAATTAGTGTTTATGGTAGCTTTGTATCTGAGGGGAAATTGGTAATCTCTGCATGTTTTCTATTTTTAAATTGAAAAACCTGATGTGGATTCTGCTGAAAATTAAAATATATGAAACACCTTTTATTCTAACCTTTGGTGTGATTGATTTTTCAGATCAACTGCAGCTTTCATCGCGTTTCAATAAGCTCAGTCAGTTGGCAGTAGGAGAAAAGCTGAGGCCTCTGGGAACACGTCACACAACGCTGTGTAGCATGAACTTCTCAGTGTTAATTCTGTTAGGAAATGTAAAACCAAGTGAATGCTGCCATCTAACACTGCAGCAATAAATCAGGGTTTTTATTGTTCCAAGAATTTAAAAACCATTAGATAAAATAGTTCCCAGAAAGAGTATCTACTACCAAAACCGGAAAGGGTTTCTTGCATACAAACAACTGTGTATGTGAAGCCATGCACACGCCTCATCCTTCACAACTTCCCAGCAACTGCAAAATTAAACACTTTCTAATGACTCAGTCAACTTTAAAGACTGTAGAAAACAGATGAGGTGTCATAAAATTAAGGTAAACAGAAAAAAGAGGCGACCACTGGTGGGGACAGAATGAGTTAAAGTCCATTTAAATATCCCTCCTTTGACTAAACCTTTATCCTGACATCACTTGTTTTAGAAAGCCTCTATATAGCGTGGCTCCACTCCAGTTAGCACGCTTTACAAGCATTTCCATTACCTTTTCGTAGGGACGCAGCGAAAATTCGGCCACTGGAAATTTAAGGTGGAAAATGACCAAAAGGCAGATTTTCAGTTTTTAGCCCATTGACATTTAACAGCAAAACTACATGGCTGTAACTTGTGATGACAGGCATAGCACATCCAGCGCGGGGCATAGCACTGCCATACGCTCAGAGTTAAGCGTATGGTAGACAGGTTTAAACGCAGCATATCAGGCTCGGCGCATTCTTATTGGGTTTGAAGTGAAGAGAATGTGATCTATGAATCAAAATTTGAAAAGGATTAACTTTGGAAAATACAATTTAAATACATAGAATTCTTTTTTTTTATCTGTCGAAAAAAATAAGCAGAAAAAAGGAAAAAGTAGCAAAAGAAAAAAAATCTGGAAAGCAAAATCTGAAATGACTAAATTTGACTGTGTTATTTTTAAAATTCTGCTTCTTGGGTGGGAAGTTTGTTTTTGGAAATTGACCTACTGGTGCAAAAATAAAACCTATCCTTTTTACAATGGTATCTTTGGAGCTTTTCTTTAAGAAGAAAAATAAAATCAAGTTAACTTTAAGCACACTGGAAAAATCTCCGGAGTCTTTATTTGGTAGAATAACCCAAGATCCTGAATTTCATTCACACTGCGTCCAGCTTTAACTTCCCAACTAACACTCCTCTTGATTCTCTTCTCTTTTCCAGGAGGATCCTGGAAGTGCTCGTGTTTTCTCAGGGATCCAGCCAACCGGCGTGCCGCATTTGGGCAACTACTTGGGAGCCCTGGAAAACTGGGTGGCCCTGCAGAACCGGTACCCCTCTGTGCTCTACAGCATAGTGGACCTGCACTCCATAACTCAGCCTCAGGATCCAGACCAGCTCAGGAACAACATCCTGGACATGGCAGCAAGCTTGCTAGCCTGTGGAATCAACCCGGAAAAGGCGATTCTGTTTCAGCAGTCCCAGGTTTTTTTAGTTTTTTGTTGTTACAGTTACTAAGACTTTGATCTACAAAATATGTGCTTGCTTTAAAACTACGCACAGCAGATCCTCATGCATGGTGCAAAGCGCCTGCCAAACTCTTTTGCTTGTGTGTCTTCATGAATATGCAGACAATATTTTAATAAACAAAATTGGGCAAATTTGTAGGTCAAATAAAACTGTTTCTGCCTTCGAAGTGATTTATCAAACCGGAAACTGGTTGCAGGCACATCTTTAGGTTGTTAGGTCAGATGGAAACTCTATGCAAACATTTCTGTTGTCATTTTGTCCAAAGACAAATAACTGCTAGATGATGGAGAGAGATTCTGTGCTCATTTAAAATTTTTTGAAATCATTAGAAATAAGGATTTAATTAAACTCATGGATCCGTTAATTAATAAGCACCTTTTCGCCTAAAAGTTTCAGGTTTTTCTTTTATCAAGAGGATCTAAGGATCTTTTCAATACACAAAGAACTAAATATTGTTTTTGAATATGCTGAATTAAAAATATATAGTTTATAAGTATAGACATCCCTAGTCTTATGTTTGTGAGCAGCCTGTCCTGCATTGTTTTAACGTCTCCATACAACATATTTCTGAAATTCAATTTATCCCTCAAGCAAAAAGGAAAAGGATATATTATAAAATAGAGGCTTATGTTCCTCTAAACTGTAGTTAGTGGCTAAAACAGTAAAATAAAGGGGAGTAAAGTTATAGCAACAGAGCTTTTTGCTCTTTATAAATGAAATAATAAAGTCAATAATTACATTTAAGCAAGTTAAATGATTTATAATAAACCCAAGTGGATGATATAAAAACAGGTTTGACACCCCTGCTGATATTGACCTGATACGATATCAGCATAATTCAGACCTTTTTTTTTTTTTTTTTTACTCATTTTATGTTTTGGAAAGTTATGAAAGGCTTTGATAAAGTAGTCAACAATAGTAAAGAGAACTACTGACCCATTTGTTATCAACCAATCGGTTACAGACACAGAAGCGGATGGTTTCTAAAACATGCTGATATCAGACATTTTAATAATAATAATAATTTAACTTTATTGATCTAAAACTGGAGAAATTTACCTCTGCATTTAACCCATCCCCTTGGGGATCAGTGGGCTGCCATTGTGGGGCGCCCAGGGAGCTGTGTGGGGTTAAGGGTCTTGCTCAGGGACCCAGAGTGGCAGTCTGTGGGAGTAGGACTCGAACTCAGAACCTCAGGATTTCAAGCTCGATGCCCTAACCACTAGGCCACCACTCCCGACATGAGGAATATTCTTATATTTGTTTTTTGATGCGATAAGGACACAAACCTACTGCAACAAAAAAAGACTAGTAAAAAAAAAACAAATGGGAAAATGTATTATAATTTAGTATTTTTCAAGTTTCTATTCATTGAACATGTCTTAGAGTTCCTCATCTTGTTGTTTGTCTGTGAACTTTACAAATGAAAAAAGAGCTGGATTTACTGATAAAATGATGGGAAAGATGGTTTTGTTTTTAAGAAACATTTGAGACATGAAAAGATTTACCCATATAAGATATACCATTCAGTATCATTTTAAGGTTCTTTTCTTTTCAGCGTCCTAAAGATAATTTTAGTTTTTAGCAAATTTTGGTATTATGGAAAAAACAAACTGGTAGTGACCATCATCCAATAATGTTTTACAGCACACACAGTTATAATAAATATGTTCTGTCGACTCAGCGTCTCCATCACATAATACACAGGCATGTATCTTCCATTAAGGAACAGACCCTAACATAAAATATTTGCAGGAATATATATTTTTTTGAAACTCAATTTTCTTTATTTACAGTTAAATAACATAATAGCTGTACAGTTTAATAAATGCATTACAGACCAAACGCCTCATTTGAGCCATTTTGGGATTCATTTCAAATTTCTCTGTAATGGCAGCACCACATGGGAGTATAGTGTGGACTGGAGTTATGTTTGCAGATTAATCTCCAGGAAAATAAAACTTTCTAATGGAAAAAGGAAAGTTTTATTAGAAGTTTTTGTTTAATGGTCACATTAAGATGGAAGTTATTCTACCCAGAGGTTTAAATGTTTTTCTTGGATTATGAAACCAAAAGGTGCAGTGGGTCAAAATAGGAAGAGGAGAGAGGTCTGTAGTTTTAATAATTTGTCTACATCGGCTATCAGAGACAAAATGTTGGCAAATAAACCAGGAAATCACAATATAGGGTTTTCCAAGCATTTATCTGGAAATAACTGCCCGTTTCAGACCTTTAACGTGTTATTTAAGAAGCTCTTCTGTTCTCCATTCATTACCTGTATCAATGTCTCCTGTTTGAGCTCATTAGCCGTATAAAACACACCTATCTACAGCCTCAAACAGTTAACAGACTCAACCATGACCAAAACTACACAGATGGGGACCAGGAGGAAAACTGGCAACCTGCAGAAGGCTGGGAAGAGAGATTTTACAGAGCTGCATCGCAGGACCACTGTAGATACTATGAAGCATGGGGGTGGAAGCATCATGCTTTGGGGAATTAATGCTTTAAAAATGTTTTGTTTTGTTTTTTTGCAGATTTTTTTTTAACGCTTTCTCCTCCTTGATTTACATGATAAACATGACACAGTGCTTGCAAATTTTACACAAGCCTCAATTTGAACATTGATTAAAAATCAAACATTAACGGTGGATGGCAAAATGGAGGGTGCAGCGATGCATGTGCGTTAAGTAACCCTAAGGCACTGCCAAGAATCCGCCAACGCATGTACATATCAGCAGATATCAATCTGTGCTTTTATGTGTCATTTCCAAAAACAGAAAAAAAAGGCACTAGATTTATCACTAGTGGCTTTTTTGAAACAAAAACAAACTAATATCCCTATATAACGACAAAGTCGCTAAGTTCACGGCGATGAAACTAAAGCCCCTGTCACACCTCGATGATTTAGCCAGCATATGCCTGATATATGGAAAGTCTGGTAAAAAAAAAACACTGACATATGTTGGATAAGTTATGGGAACGTTTTGTATAAGTTATGAGCACAGTGAATACACTGAAGCACCCTGGCACACGTCAACATACGGCAAGTGCCAGCATATGCTCATACGAGGGCCACAAGTTACAGCTAAGTTCTTTGATCGCTGACATATGTTAAGTGTTACTCATAAGCGGGCGGCTCCCGGCACATTGCTGCCCCCCTCAGGACACTGGCTTGTGTTGTTGTGCGTTATGCATAGGCTAGGCTGTCGTTGGACATACCCTCTGAACTCGTTATGAGTACTCTATGTTACGCCCAACATTGAAAAAATACATAGAAAGTTCAGCTTATGCCAGCGTTTTAGGAGATTCTGGGACATCCGGCATACAGTGGGGCAAAAAAGTATTTAGTCAGCCACCAATAGTGCAAGTTCTCCCACTTAAAAAGATGAGAGAGGCCGGTAATTTT